GAACAACAGGAGGACAGTGACAGTGACCACTCCCTTTACAAAAAAAAAAGACAAAACACCCAAAACACCACTCAGAGCCCTCCTGAAAATCTACCTATTTAAGCAAACAAATAGCATCCTCAACTACATCCAAAGTTACTACAGCACCCTCGGATCATTCCAGCAACATCCTGCCATAACACAAAAAGTTCATTTTTGTAGCCTGCCCACACGGCAGAGTCTGGCAAACTCCCCGTGGCGTACCCAATTCATTTTAGCATTCAGTACAATAGACAGGATATGAAAAAAGTATAAATTATAAAAGGTAGATGAATGAATAAAAGAAGTTGTGGTATTCTCAGCCATGCTCAAGGCCATTGTCCACAGGCTTGGACGAGCTTCACCCACGAGGGAAACCGCAAAAAAACCCAGGTGTGCAGGACCTGTGACTGAGATCTCAAAGCTTGCTTGATGTGGGACTGGGCCTCCTCCCCCAGATCCCTAGTTCTCCAGTAGTTTGGCAGTCACACCCACAAACTGCCCCCGGAGCCATATAATCTCATAAAAAATGGCCAAGATCCAGAGACTCTGAAATAAAGCTACTGGAAGAGAATGACAAACGCCTTACCCCTGAGTGAATCTGATCTATAATTATATTCTAAATTTCAGAATTCCTGGAACTCTCATACTCTAGCCCACTGATGTACTAAAAGTAGCACACATTTGTTTGGGTTTAACATACATGCTTGTAATCTCTTATACAAGGTGTATGGTGGAGGGATTGGTGTTTGAATATTAAATGCAATGAATTATTGTGAAAAACTTTATAAAAATTAAATTAAATTAGAAAAGAAGAAGTTGTGGTATCACACAGAATGGTCTCTCATATGTGAGATATAAAGAAATCTCATAGGGGAATATCAAATGCCCTATGGCAATAGAAATGAAGAGCAAAACTAGTCTTCAGTAGGAAGCTTGGTACTGGGGCAGGGGTGGGGGGTAAGTTAGGGAAGAAAACATTAAGGCAATAGAGGAGGGGAAGAGTGCCTGCCACAGTGGCAGACTGGGGGATGGGAGAAAATTAGGGACATTGGTGAAGGTATTGGTGAAAGAATTGGTGTTGGAAGAATACATGCTTAAAATCAATCATAGCCACGGCCCCAGAAGCACAAGGACCCAGCAGCTTGGAGCAGAAAAGTGAACGGACTATGCGTTAATCCAAGCCACCATGTCTGCCCGGAGGGGAAAGGGTGTTGCTCCCTTCTGTCCTCCCCCCTCTGGGAAGAAAGATGGCGGCTGCATGGGAGCCTTGTGGAGAGCAGGTATGAGCCGGGGGTGAGGGGGCGACTAAAACCTCATGGGAAGGGGGGCGTTCCGGCCCATCCTTCACGCCCTACTGAGGTCACCAGTTGCCCACCACGAGCTGCTCTCCAGCATGGCCATGACTCCAGAGCGCAGAAACCGATCTCTTAATTATCTGACTCTCAGTAGAAATGCTTCCAGGGTTAATAAGTAAAATAGCAGAAATCCAAAACTGCATGGCCGCTATTGCGGCCGCGTGACATCATTTAATTCTTGAACCCAGCTGTAGAAAGAAAATCATTTCACAATGCTTTTTCAGCATGTCTGATTTGAGGCTGGGGTAAACTCTAAATAATAATGATGCATCTTTTATCGAAACAATGAATCTAGTCAAAGTAGATAGAGTGTTAACTAGAATTCATCTGCCTCACAGGCATTGGGGGGGTTTATTGGGGTTCTACGTGGTGAAAAATAAGTATTGGTAAAGGGAAATGTGTTTGATATTTGCATGACCGAGACCTAAACCTGAAAGCTTTGTAACTTTTCCCACAGTGATTCAATAAATAAATAAATTATTTTAAAAAATCAATCATAAATCTTTGTAACTTTGTGATTCATTGTCACTGTCACTGTCTTCCTATTGTTTATCGATTTGCTCGACCGGGCACAAGTAACATCTCACAACAAATTGTGAGACTTGTTGTTACTGTGTTTGGCATATAGAATACGTCACGGGTAGCTTCCCAGGCTTTGCCGTGGGGCCAAGATACTCTTGGTAGCTTGTGGGCTTTCCGAGAGGGGCGGAGGAATCGAACTCGGGTCGACCATATTGGCCGCTTGCAAGGCAAACGCCCTACCCGCTGTGCTATCACTCCAGCCCATGGTGATTCATTAAAAAATAATAAAAATAAGTCATGGTATATATACACAGTGGAGTATCATGCAGCTTTAAGAAAAGATGAAATCATGCAGTTCGCTGTGATGTGGATGGAACTGGAGTGTAGCATCTTCAGCAAAATAAGCCAGAGGGAGAAGGACAAACATCTGATTAACTCACTCATTTGTGGAACAGAGTGAGACACAATAAGGGAATAGACAGTATCAAACAATGGCAAAACCTTGACCGTGGATTACAAAACTGATTAATAAATAGTGGAGAGAAGGATGGGGGAATGAAGAACATAACAAAGATGATAGGAGGACTGTGATGGAGGGTCATAGTGGTGAGGGGGTCATGCAGTAACTTCTTATATCAATACCATTTACTTAATTTTTTTAAAAAATTAAAGCATTGTAAGATACTCGGTCACAAAGCTGTTCGTGATTGGGGTTCAGTCATACAATGTTCCAACACCCATCCCTCCACCAGTGCACATTTCCTACCACCAATGTCCCCAGTTTCCCTTACTCCCCCCTCCAACCCCCAGCCTGCTTCTATGGCAGGCGCTTTTCTTCTTTTTCTCTCTCCTTTTAATACCATATACTTTATAACACTATTGTAACTGTTTGTTATAGTTTATGTTACCTAAACTATAATAAAACAATGCAAAACAAACAGAAGAAACCCCACTAGTCTACTGGCTATACTCCAGTTCTGTTAATTGCCCTAATAATGCTCATTAGGGATTCCTCTCCCCCCCAGTGCAGCCAAGATCCTGTCCAGGCATCACATCTGGTTGTCAGGTTTCCTTTGTCTTCTTTATTTTTTTCTCCCTTAGTCTCCTTTAATATGAAACATTCACCACCCCCCTTTGTCTTTGATGAGACTGACATTTGAAAAATATAATATCATAAAAAATAGAAACCTTTTTGGATTGTCTAATGTTTCCTCATAATGAAATTCAGATTATGTATTTCTGACTGAAAATCTCCACAAATGTTCTGGGGGCCCCCTCAGGGGTTACTATCTAAAGAGATATACAATGGCCATCTGCTCCTTATTTGTGCCAATTATGACCACCCAGTCAACTTGTTTGATTTCTCAACAGTAAACTCATTAATTTCCCCTGGCAACCAATATCCCATCTATAGATGACATGCTGTACAATCAAGCAACTATTCTGCACCCCCAAGAAAATGTTTCTAGATATAGCAATTAATTGATAATATGCCTGAGTCAAGAATCATTTTGTTATTTTAACAAAAAAAAATGGTGATTTCAGTCTCAGCATTCCCTCCATGTTAGCATTAAGCTTAGACATTTTGCTGTGACACTTGGCTGTGCACAGGGCTTATTCCTGTCTCTGCTTTTTCCAGGGTTCAAGGGTGGTTACCTAGGGGATCATATGGGGTGGTGGTGATCAAACCAGAGTTGCAGTGTGCAACTTCTGTATTATTCTCCCTGACCCTTAAAGCCCTGAAATCCTTTGTCACTAGAAACACACTGTCTGTTTGTCATTTTCCTTTTTAGGGACAGACTCCTTTTCTCACTACAGAAGAGGGTTCTTCTAAGTGAGGGTTCATCAAGAAACAGTTGATGTCTCTGAAAATTTTTCTTTTCTTTTCTCTTTTTGTTTTTAGGTCACACCCAGCAGTGCTTAAGACTTATTCCTTGCTCTGCACTCAGGGATCACTTCTGGTGGGGACTGGGAGACTATATTAGATGCCCCCTGAGAATTTTTCAACAGATATTAGAGGTTAAAACTATTTTCAAAACAATACTGACATCACTTGGGCTGGAGCTATAGCACAGCGGGTAGGGCATTTGCCTTGCACGCGGCCTTCCTGTATTCGATTTCTCCGCCCCTCTCAGAGAGCCCAGCAAGCTACCGAGAGACAGTATATCACCCGCATGGAAAAGCCTGGCAAGCTACCTGTGACGTATTCGATATGCCAAACACAGTAGCAACAAGTCTCGCAATGAAGACGTTACTGGGCCCGCTCGAGCAAATCAGTGAACAACAGGACAGTGCTACTGACATCACTTGTTTTCTCCACTCTGATGCTCTCATAAGTGGAATTTAATATTTTTTAACAAGATGAACTTTTTATATATTACATGACATTTGGTATAGGAATTTAAATGTAGGACTGGAGCTATAGTACAGTATATATGGTCCTGTGAGCACCACCAGGAATGATTCCTGAGTGCAGAACCAGGAATAACTCCTGAGCATCACCAGGGTGTCTTCCCTACTCCCAAATAAAAACTTTAATTCTTTTCTTTACTAAAGAAGAGAATATTTCCCTAGTTTGTTTTACTAAGTTGATCGTGGGTGGGGGGGATAACCCCTGGTAAAGCTGGGAGCTGTTTGTTTCTCTCCCCCATATTTCTGGCTCCCAGAACTGCTTAGGGGACCATGTAGTGTCAGTGGTAAAATCAGTGTTGGCTGCATGCCGGTCAAGCACCTTTACTCCTATACTATTTGTCCGTCCCTTGCTTTGTTTCTGTTTAGGGCCCTACCCAGCACTCTGGGGCTCTTAAGCTTCCCAAAGCACATAAATGCTGTACATGAGTGGTTCCACTCAAATATAGATAAGTCTCTTTTTAAAGTCAATAATGACTTTTGCATATTTCTAATGGAATCCTTTTCTAATTTGATTTTGTTTGTTTTTACTTGGGGGCCACACCCAGTGGTGCTCAGAGTTTACTCCTGGATCTGCACTCAGAGATCACTCCTAGGAGGCTCCAGAGACCTCCAGATCAAACCTGGGTTGGCTGCATGCAAAGTAAATACCTACCCGCTATGCTATCATTCAGTCCCAAATCTGATTTAAAAAAATATATGGAATGCTTTGCAATTTTGCATGTCACCCTTATGCAGGAGCCATGCTAATCTTCTCTGTAACATTCCAATTTTAGTATATGTGTTGCTTAAGCAAGCACAATATTTGTTTAATTAATTAATTAATTAATTTTGGGGTGGGGGGTGCTCAGGGCTTACCCCTGGCCCTGCACTCAGGGATCATTCCTGCCAGTGTTGAGGGACCTTATGTGGTGCCGGGATCAATCCTGGCAGACTATGGGCAAGGCAAGGTAGCACATGCTGTACTACTCTTCCTAAAACAAAAAAGGTAACAAGAATGTGGAAAAATAAGTTGATCTACGAGAAAAATCACAAGATGTTCTGCATTTTTTTTTCTTTTTGGGTCACACCTGGCGATGCAGGGGTTACTCCTGGCTCTGCACTCAGGAGTTACTCCTGGCGGTGCTCAGGGGACCATATGGGATACTGGGGATTGAACTCCGGGTCGGCCGCATGCAAGGCAAACACCCTACCCGCTGTGCTATCTCTCCAGTCCCTGTTCTGCATTTTTTTTGAGGAAGAGAGATCAACAATAAAATGGAAATGGCAGAGAATCAGACTTCTGCAACAAAGAAAAGGCACAGATGTTTCATAACTCAAAGATCTCTCAGATGAAATTCCTTTGCCTTTGGTTACTGGAACCATTGTTACAGAAAAATAAAGGTAAGCTTCTTATTACTATAACTTGTACATTTTCACCAAGATAACTTCTTCAAGATAAATGACCTTTTAAATTTGAAAACTGTAAACTATAATTTTTACTTTTTTAAGTTCTATGCCAATATTCTATAGAGATTGTATACTCATCATATTTTTAAGTAATTGGGGAAAAGTATATTGGCTTAAAGCAGTGTTTACAACATAAACAAACTACGAAAAGTTAAATTTTAAAACAAAAAAATGATCTATGATGTGTCCAATTACTAGATATAGTATGTATCACAATCTTCTCATTTATGCTCCGAACTACTAAAATAATCCATAAAATGCATACAATACATATTTCAATTTGGGCAAAACTCAAAAACAAACAGAAGAAAAATATTCAAGGACAAAAAATGGGGAAAAGGCAATTAAACAATAATAACATACATATAGGATGGCTGCATGTATGGCAGCAAAATTTTCACAACCCACAGGAGCCAGGACTGAGTAGATGCCATGGGCAGACAGCAACAAAAGCTGCACGCACAGCAGTGAGTTCACTGCCCACACCCAATTTGCACTGCCCACTCCCAACAGAATCGATCCTGAAAGAAAAGCACTTCTACAGAACTTGGGCAGAAATAGTCACCTACCTAGTGACTCTGCTATGAAGAAAACAGAAGATGTGAGGGTGGAGAGGAACAAATTAGAGCAGTTTGGGAATGCCTGAATGATGCTTGACTTAAATGACAAAAAATTGCCAGTCTGTGAAGATTTAGGAGTACAAGGAAGAGCTACTAGGAAGGGCCTTGGGCTAGAGAGGTAGTATAGAGGACAGGGCACTTGCCTTGCATGGGTGAACCCAAGTTTGATACCCAGCATCCCATGTGGCCACCCAAGTTCTGCCAGGAGTGACCCCTGAGCACAGAGCCAGGCGTAAGCCTTGAATACAGCCAGGCATGACCAAAAACCAAAGCCAAACCAAACCTCAAAAATTAAAAGAAGAAAGGAGCTTCAGCAGGAAAGAAGCTAACATTGCTGACACGCTTTGAGAGACTTGAGGAATAGGAAGAAGAGCTGAAATTTGAGAGAGTCAGGCTTAGAATATTTAACACTTTCATCAGATAATAGCAATCTTTATTGCAGGAGGGAGTCTCTTTACCAGCTCAAAGTACGTCAAAATAATGAATAAATGAACAATAATTTTTATTATTTTTATTTATTTATTTTCTGGCACTTTTTGGGGCCACCTGGCAATGCTCAGGGATTATTCCTGGCTCTGCACTTAGGAACTGCTCCTGACAGTGCTTAGGGGACCATATGGGATGTCAGGGACCAAACCCGGGCTAGTTGCACGCAAGGAAAACATCCTACACTGTACTATCACTCTGGACCCCCCAAAAAAATTTTTTTAAAACATGCTTATTTGGGAACTGGGGTGATAGCACAGCAGGTAGGGTGCTTCCCTTGCACACAGCTGACCTGGGTTTGATTCCCTATTATCCTATATGGTCCCCTGTGCCCGCTAGGAGTAATTCCTGAGTGCAGAATGTGGAGTAATCCGTAAGTACTATTGGCTGTGCCATCCCCCCCCCCCTACACACACAAAATACATACTGATTTATAAAACAAGAAATCACAATAAGACACTTGCCTTGAACTAAGCTCACTCTTGTTCAATCCCCAGAACTGTACACGGTCTCTTAAGCACCATCTGGTGTAATCTCTAATCATACAGCAAGGAGTAAGCCCTGAGCTGAGAATGAACCAACTCCCCATCCTCCTAAGCCCTCCCCCACAAAAAACCCACATCCTCATGCTGTTTCTTTATTTTCTGTACATTTTATGATTCTATGTGTGTCCACTTCATGTTCCTCAACTGTGCATGTCCATCTTTTCTCCTCATGAATATGCATGAGTTTATGACAAACTACACAATTTTGTCTAGACTGTTACATTATCCTTGTTTTTTTGGTGGACATAAAACCCAGACACCCACTTGCTTTCTTCAAACTTACTCTCTAGTCTGTGCTAGTAGAGATACCTGACAACTTAAATTGTTTTTATGCAGTAAAGTCGGGGCTGGAGCGATAGCACAGCAGGTAGGGCATTTGTCTTGCATGCCCCTCTCGGAGAGCCCAGCAAGCTACCGAGAGTATCTCACCCCCACAGCAAACCCGTGACATACTGGATATGCCAAACACAGTAACAACAAGTCTCACAATGGAGACGTTACTGGGCTGCTCGAGCAAATCAATGAATAATGGGAGGACAGAGCAGTAAAGTCACTCTTTTCTAGTCAGTTTTTCCTGCACTTTTTTTTTCTTTTTGGGTCACACCCAGCAATGCACAGAGGTTACTCCTGGCTCTGCACTCAGGAATCACCCCTGGCGGTGCTCAGGGGACCATATGGGATGCTGGGAATCAAACCCGGGTTGGCCGCGTGCAAGGCAAACGCCCTACCCACTGTGCTATTGCTCCAGCCCCTTTTCCTGCACTTTTTAAGACAATGGCTAAGCAAGGAATTATTTTTTCATATGGAAGTCTATATTTAACCTGTTAAGGAGCTGTTTCGCAGTATCCCAAAGTAACATCAAGAAGTCCCTATTTATTTCAGGTACCTTAGGTTCACAAGGAAATTATGGCCAATTGGTAAGGACAAAGGATAGGAAATAGATGCTGGAGAAAAACTAGAAATCCCAGGAAGAAACTAGGGTTAAATTGATTTTGTGGTTCAAATTCAAATTACTACCACTAATTAATTAATTTCATTAATTCATTCCATTGATAAGCTGATGAAATACAGAGGGCACCCCAGACAAAGTGAACTTAAAGTTCACCAACGTTATGCCTAGCAAACTACAGTGAGTGAATAAAAGCAAAATGAATTTAGGGGCCAGAAAGATAATATAGCAGGTACTTGTACTATCCAGCAGCCTACACAGGCTTGATCCCAGGCACCCCATTTTGTCCCCAGCACCACCAGGAGTGATTCCTGAGCACAGAGCCAGAAATAAGCCCTGCGCACCCCCAGGTGTAGCCACTACCCCCTCAACAACAATAACAACAACAAAGAAGCCAACGAAAGAAAAAAGTAGTCAACAAAACAACAACAAGAAGTCAGCAAAACAAAAAGATATAAGCCTTTTTATTGTTATTATTTTTAGTAATGCTTTTTTTTTTTGTTTTTTGGGTCACACCCAGCGATGTTCAGGGGTTGCTCCTGGCTCTGTACCCAGGAATTACTTCGGGCAGTGCTGGGGGGACCATATGGGATGCCGGGGATCAAACCCAGGTCAGCCATGTGCAAGGCAAACTCCAGCCCAGCCCCAATAGTACTATTATTATTATCGCTCCAGCCCCAGTAGTACTATTATTATTACTGAATTTTTGGTTTGTTTGGGGACCATACCCAGTGGTACTCAGGGCTCATTCCTGGCTCTGCAGATGTGGTATTGAGGGACTGAACCTGGGTCAGGAGAATGTAAGGCAAGCACCTTACTCATTGTATGATCACTCTGGCTCCTTTTATTTTTATTTTATTTTATTTTATTTTTTTATTTCTTAGTTTTTAATAAATTATGTGTGAATAGGTTTGCTTTTTACCATTACAAAGGAAATGAAAGGGTATTAACCAATATCTTCCTCAAAAAGATAAGACAAAAAATCAATTTCATGAAATTAACTGAAGCAATCATATACTATATTATGGGATGCATGTGATTTATGCTTTCATATTTTTAGGTTGTAATATCAAATTTTAATTTTTTTTATTTAATCATTTTTTTATTAGTGAAACACCATGAAGTACATTTATAGACTTATAAATTTTTGTGCTTGGGTTTCAGTTATACAGTGATCAAGTACCCATCCCTCCACCAGTGCCCATCCTCCCCCACCACGGGTCCTAGCATCCCTCCTACCCCCCAACCCCCCCCCTCCTGTCCCACGCTGCCGCTGTGGCAGGGCATTCCCCCTTGTTCTCTCTCTCTTCTTTTGGGTACTGTGTTTTGCCAGAGAGGCATTGAGTGGCAATCATGTTTGGTCTATAGACTACTTTTAGCATGCTTCTCCCACCCTGGGAGGGTCTTCACAACACCCTTTATTTGGTGCTCTCTTCTCTATCTGAGCTTCCTTTTCACCTAGCACATGTGGCTGGCCTTCAAGTCATGGAGCAAAATTCCTGGTACTAATCTGTCTGGCTCCTTTTAGAGATGAGAGCCAAAATATTGATTGATGAAACCATTTGATAGGTTAATAATATTAAATGTAATTTCTTTCACAATAATAAAGAAGGAACTATCAATTGTTAAAGTTATGTGATGGACTCAATGGGCTTCACTTTAGTTTTTTCTCTACTTCTGCATAAGATTTTAATTTTCCATCATAAAAATGTTTTAAAGATTGCTTGACACATCTGTAAAATATTTAGATT